TGTCACTTTCTCTTCGCTGATAAGATATAAAGCCAAGTGCACAACGTTCCTATGTAACTCCCAACGGTACTTCCGGGTTTCTTCCCACCGCAGATTTTGCTTTTAAAAATAGCGGCTGCGTGAAATCAGTCTATAGCTGGCTAAGAGTTGTCTTAAGATACTACTTTGGATTAGTCAATTTACTTACGATGTTTGTCTTTGTGGAAGGAAACTAAGAAAATCCATGCGAGAACAGGGAGAACATGCAAACTCCGAAATGCACAGAAACGCCCACTAACCCAGTCGGGACTCAATCCAGCGATCTTCTTGCTGTGAGGAAACAGTGATAACCACTGGGCCGCCGTGCCGCCCTTTCAGGAGAAGGGGGGAGTAGAGGTGGAAGGGGGGAGTCTAACTCTGGTTATTTATAGAGAGTCAGTATTCGTCTGATAGTCTCAATCATGCAGAGCTGATGCGGGACCAGCTGTGATCAATCATAAGCACATGATCTCTCGAAATTTATAAATAAACTGCACAAAAATCTCATTAAAACTCACATTTTCTATGAATATAATGGAGTCTGAAATGTTCCACATTGGGGGGACACTAGGGCTGGGCCAATGGGCGATGTCAAGTACATTATATCTAATCGCGATAAAATTTATGTCGATAACAATGATAAGCTCTGAACTTTTTTGATTATTATTATTTTTGGAGGGGGTTTCATGTTTAATTGATAGGACAGTAGATGGTATAAACAGGAAAATGTGGGGAGCAAAGAGAGGGGAAGGATCGGCATAGGAACTCAACGTGGGAATCGAAGTCAGGTCGCTATGATTACCAGAGTCAGGGGCGCAACTGCACAGTTACTGATGGGTATGCCGCTTCAACTTTTGCGCACCCCCCTCAATCCAATTATATTTTATAACAAGCATGTGACAATGCCAAAATATTTCCATCAATAAGATTTTTTTTTTTTTCTCATCAACATGCTTCAAACTAATTCATTTCACAGTTCTGAGCAGAACTGAAATAATATATGAAGTAGTAAAAGGTATAATTACACTAAGCATGTTAAGTCACAAAGAATTACATCTCTTCCCACACCAAATTTCATTTGATAGCACCTTAACTTGCCTGGCTTTTGGACTTTTTGTACTACATTTGTCAAAACAAAATGACACATATGGGAGTCCTAAAGGGCAAAAGAACTTATCAAATACTTCTCATATGCATGTTGTGAGAGGTTGTAAGGTCTGTCTTTACATGAACAACTGACTGAAACTGCAATTACACCTCTCACTAAGTGAAATAAAAAAGACTGTAAACTGTAAAAAACAGAAACTAACTGCCGAAAATGTTCTATTTTATTAAAATGTTACAGCAAACTTTGTTTGTAGCTAAAATTAAAATATTTATGAGCAAAAGAAGTTAATAAAAGGCCTGATGAATTAATATGAAACCTATTAAATTTATAAAAACATGTATATAGTATGAAAAATGGGGGGAGGTGTCGAATATTATACGGATTAATAATATTATTATACGGCGTATAATATTATACGCATATAAAATGCTAAATACACATTGTAAAAAAAAAATATTGATTTATTTTTATTATTTGAAACTTTTAATATGAATAATTCCAAAAATAGTCTTGCCCCCCTTTTGCACCACTGACCAGAGTGCCATGTGTCGACACACTTTCCACTACACCATTGGCGCCGACAGCTCTAATCTAAGAGCCAATCACACAGCAGAAGTGCACAGCAATGAGAATCTAGATGTTGATATTAGAAATATACAGAATTTTTAGCCACTAAAAATGATCGGCTATCGAAAATAGGTTATGCTATTTAATGGAGCCTCTAATTTTTGTAGCTTCATTGTTGTGATGCTCTTTTAAATCTGGAAGCAGCTGATATACAAATATATATATTGTTCAATATGGAAAATAATTAATTGGGAGAACAGCACTAGGCGACACGGTGGCACCAGCCTGATCTCATGAGGAAACACAAGTATTTTACATTTTGTCAGTTTAGTGGCTAATTTGTACGAGTTCAGTCGTACGAAAACGTATTTGTTTAAAAAGGAGGCGTGGCAACCAACCCCACCCCTAACCCCAACCGTCATTGGGTGATGAGCAAATCGTACAAATTAGATTGTACGAATTCATAAGAAGTAGCTACTAAATGAAAAAGTTACGAATTGCCTTGAGATTGTGTAGGTGGCTCATTGGTCAGCACTGGGGCCTCACAGCAAGAAGGTCGCTGGTTCAAGTCCCGGCTGAGTCAGTTGGTGTCTCTGTGTGGAGTTTGCATGTTCTCTCCGTGTTGGCGTGGGTTTCCTCCGGGTGCTCCGGTTTTCCCCACAGTCCAAACACATGCGCTATAGGGGAACTGATCAACTAAATTGTCCGTAGTGTCTGAGTGTGTATTTGAATGAGAGTGTATGGGTGTTTCCCAGTACTTATAGTTGCAGCTGGAAGGGCATCCGCTATGTAAAACATATGCTGGAATAGTTGGTGGTTCATTCCACTGTGGTGACCCCTGATTATTAAAGGGACTAAGCTGAAGGAAAATTAATAAATTAATGTTTTACAATCCAAAAACACGCGGGCACACACACACACACACACACACACACACACACACACACACACACACACACACGCACGCATGCACGCACACACACACAATAACAGAAAAATGTTGCATGTGTGGTTGCACAAAATTCTTTTATTTTAATAAAAAAGTTTGCAAAAAACAGTATTTTAAAACTGGCATCCAACTTAAAGATAGCTCGACGTGCGTCTGACAGCAAGCAGTCCCAAAACACAACATTAAATCATTCAAAATAAGAAGAAAAAACACATTGAAGGACGGGCTACAACAACAACAACACAGCAGTCTGATGAACAGCAACTCTCTGCTAATAATTAGAGCTCAAACAAGCAGATTTCCTAAAAACATCAGCATTTACAGCAGGACAGGAGCGGACACTCCTGAAACACATTAAAGGGGCAGTTCACACACAACTGGCTTCAAACCTTTTGGAGTTGCTTTCTTCTGTTGCACACAAATGAAGATATTTTAAAGAATGTTGAAGCTAAATAATCTTAAGTCAAGACAAACATTCAGAAATGCTTTTTTTTTTTTTTTTTTTTTTTTTGCATTGACTTCCATTGTAGTTGACTTTCCTACACTGGAAGTGAAAGCAAAAAAGCATTTCAGCATTTTTGTGGAACGAGAAGCATTTTCTAGACCGGCAAAAACGGTTTGTTTTGAGAAAGGAGTCAAAAGTAAGCGAGTTCATCCTTAAAACAAGCAAAATAAACTGCAAATGGGGAAAACAAAGTCATTTTATTTTAAACTTTGAAATAAAAAGAGTTCATTTACAGCATTTGCAGATTATTTTGCTTGTTTAAGGGAAAATCTAACTTTTTTTTGGCATATTATTTCTGAAAACAAAACTGTTTTACTTTTCTAGAAAAGGTTTTTAATTCAAGAATTTTCAGATATTTTGATAAAAACAAAAAAAAAAACTAAGATTTTTTTATTGTAGTTTTCAGCACTTTTTAAATATCTTTGATGTTCAACAACAACCAAAAAAAACTTAAGTTTAAACCCATACAGTAATAATATCTGTTGTTCAACACAAATGAAGATATTTTGAAGAATGTTGAATCTAAAGAATCTTAAGTCAAGACAAACATTCAGAAACACATTTATTTTATTTATTTATTTTTTTGCATTGACTTCCACAGTATTTCTTTTTCCTACGCTGGAAGTGAATGCAAAAAAAAAAAAAAAAACATTTCTGCATTTTTGTGAAACAAAAAGCATTTTCTAGACCAGCAAAACGGTTTTGTTTTGAGAAATTAAGTGAGTTCATCCTTAAAACAAGCAAAATAATCTGCAAATGGGGGAAACAAAGTAGTTTTATTTTTAACTTTACCGCATTTGCAGATTACTTTGCTTGTTTTTAAGGGAAAAACTCACTTTATTTTGGCATATTTCTGAAAACAAAACGTTTTTTTCTCGTCTAGAAAATGTTTATTTTATAAGATTTTTTTTGATATTTTGATTAAAACATTATTTATTGTAGTTTTTAGCGCTCTTTAAAATGTCTTTGGTGTTCAAGTTTATACCCGTACAGTAATAATATCTGTTGTTAAACACCAATGAAGATATTTTGAAGAATGTTGAATCTAAAGAATCTTAAATCAAGACAAAAATTGAGAAACGCATTTATTGCACTATTCCATAGTAGTTTTTTCTACTGCAAAAGTTATGCATTTCTGATTTTTTGTCTTGACATAAGATTTCTTTAGGTCTTTAGAAAAAAGAAGCCTTTTCTGGACAAGCAAAAATAGTTCGTTTTCAGAAATGAGTCAAAATGAAGTCAGTTAATTATTAATATCAGTGAAATAATCTGCCAGGGTGGGCTGGTGGTGGTGGGGAAGGGGGATTATTCTTTTTTCAAAGTTAAAAATAACATTGCTTTACCGAGACTGCAGATTATTTAGCTTGTTTTTAAGGAAGAACTCACTTCATTTTGAATTGATTTCTGAAAACAAATCTATTTTTACTTGTCTAGAAAATGTAGTTTTTTTTTATAAGAATTGTTTCATATTTTCATTAAAAATAATAATAATAATAAACCTGACAAACCTGAAAACTTTTTTACTGTAGTTTTCATCGCTCTTTAAAATCTTTTTGGTGATTAACAGAAAAAACTCAAGTTTACACCCATACAGTAATAATATCTGTTGCTAAACACAAATGAAGATATTTTGAAGTATGTTGGAAACCTGTAACCATTGATTTCCATAGTAGGAAAAACAAATATCATAGAAGTCAATGCAAATAAAAAAGTTTTTGTCTTGATTTAAGATTTTTTTTTTAAATCTTTGAATAAATAAAATAATCTACCAATTAATTAATTTTGGCATATTCTGAAAACAAAACAAGATTTTTTGCTTATGTAGAAAATGCTTTTTAATTAAAAAATAAGACAAAAACTAAACAGGAAAAACATTTTAAAACGTCGTAAAATATATTTTGAGTTCAACAGAAGAAACTCAAAATTTTCAACCACACAGTGATAATATCTGTTAATGAACAGTTTGTGTATTTTGTCATGTTTTTCTGTTTATTTACAAATGTGCACTGCATTATGGGATGTTGATCTCTGCTCTGTCCACTTCTGATGATGAAAATTCAACTCAGTGACTTTAAGTGACATTTTAGTAGTTTGAAATAAAATATAAGATATAATATCTAGAGAAGTAAGTCTGTAGAATAACAGAAATGTGCTGCAGTTTATTACAAGGTTTAACATAATACACAACACCAACACACAATATAGCACTGCACACTATTAAAATGTTCATTAAAGTCACCTTTTTACACTTTTAAAGAAAGATCAAGATCCCATAATGCTGAAGCAGAAATAAACCAGGGGAAAAATAAAAACATGAAGCACAAAATACAGAAAACTGCTCATTTAGGCATGTGAAATAAGTCATGTAAATAATGAGCACATGTATTTTAGGTGAACTGTCCCTTTAAGAACCAATACTTAATCTCCCTTTGATGCCAATGGTTTGCTGACGAATCTGGTCCATTATGTAACTCTCCACATGGCTTCTGGCGAGGGCAGGAGGAAACCCTCACACATTAGTTTTGTTTTTATAGCTTTCTTCTTTATGCAACAGGCTCCTTTGTTTAACATTACACTCTGTAGGAATATGGCAGAAGCTCTACACGGCAATAAATGCTTCTTACTGAGAGTGTTTGTCTTGTTTCTAGCACAAATATCTTAAAACTCTTGAACCAAGATGCATTTTCTGCACAAGTAAAAATATTTAGTGTTGTTTTCAGAATTAATGAGTCAAAATGAAGAGCGTTTTTAATTATTACAAGCAAAATAATCTGACAATGGAGGAAGGGAAATAATCTTGTATTTACACTGACATAAGATTATTTCTCTTCCCCCATTCGCAGATTATTTCTCTTGTTATAATCAAAAACGACTTCATTTTGACTCATTAATTCTGAAAACAAGACTATATCTTTTAACTTGTCTAGAAAATGCTTCCTGATTTAAGACTTTATAGATATTTAGACCAGGAACAAGACAGTAAGAAGCATGTCCGTGTACATGTGAGTTTACAGCAGCAGTCTTTGGGCATTCAGATGAACACAAACGATCCTGAAATATGAGAGGAGTGTGTGGACAGACATCAACACTAGTTCACTAGTTAGGCAGTAATAATCCAGAGCGAACAGCAAGTGTGTGTGTGTGTGTGTGTGTTAACGTAACAGTGGAGCTCCTGATGAATCTGTGGCCGAGCTCGAGTAGTAATCTGTAAAAGAAAGAAAAAAAGGTGTTTTTTACAGTTTGTTGATGCTTTAAACCCATGTTGGGTCGTTTTCATCCACTCTGGGCTGATTTTGAGGGTTAGTTTGGCCTCAACTGGTTTCTTTGTTTCAGCAGATGTGAAGATTTTTGCTGACAAGTCAAATTCTGACACATATTTTGTGAAAATGCTTTGAAAATGTTAAACTCAACAATAGACTCTGGGCTGACTGACTCCCCTTTGGTGATGTTGGTGCTGATTTTGCCCCATTGACTTCCATTATAATCACATTTTATGTTTGCAAAGCCATGATGGCACACAGTGCTCAGAATAATTGAGTACAGCCTATTTCTCAGTGAATATAGGCGATGCATTTCGGTGCATTTAAACAAAACAGATACATTTATTCAAATAATATTTTAGTCACGAAACATCTTTAGAAATTGAAAGATAAAAATTTAATTCAAGCAAAATATAACAAAAATCACAACCTAAAAGATTTCAACTTTACATTTGTTGCTTCTCTCGATTTTTCTTATTTTTTATTCATTCATTCATTTTCTTTCAGCTTAGTTCCTTTATTCATCTTTGGTCGCCACAGTGGAATGAACTGCCAACTTATCCAGCACATGTTTTATGCAGTGGATGTCCTTTCAGCTGCAACCCATCACTGGGAAAACACTCATACACTCTTATTCACACAAATACACTACAGACAATTTAGCTCAGCCAGTTCCCCTATGTGTTTGGACTGTGGGGGAAACCGGAGCACCAGGAGGAAACCCACGCAAACCCAGGGAGAACATGCAAACTCCACACAGAAATGCCAACTGACCCAGCCGAGGCTCAAACCAGCGACCTTCTTGCTTTGAGGCGACAGCACAACTTACTGCGCCACCACCTCGCCCTCCTTTTTTTTTAAATGTGTGTTTCATATTTCTCTGTACCATATAAGTGTGGCTGTAGTGTTTGGAGCATTATCGTAAGTTATTTTGTTGGATAAGTTCCAGATTTGGCTTCAGTACTGACTAATCTAATGTATATGCACACATATAATATTGTAGAGCTTACTATTAACTTAACAGAGAGATTAGTGAGGGGTGTACTTGTATATGCTGAGCACTGTATAATCATGCATTCTTGATTGGTGCTGATTTTCCCTGTTACACTGTTAAAATATTAAATGCAAAGGGGAAAATATTTGTCTTAAGTGAATCTGTTTAAAAAAATTATAATAAATAAATAAATAAAACAAGATAAACCCACAATCTTGCTCAAAGACACATGCAACTTCACCTGTAAGCTTAAAAAGTATCTTAGAGTGTAAGATTAGGGATGCAATGATAAAAAAAAACTAGGGGTTATTCCGATTGAAATACTTTAAGTGCTGTGAATAGTTGGTAAAGTCTGGCTCTTTGTGGTCAAAGCAGTTGATTATATTAATAAAAGTGAAGCTGACGGCCCGGCGCATATGAACTGTCATCAACAGAAAATTATTTGGCCTAATATAGGCGACTCTGACACTGTGAATATTTTACTGTCATTTTATATATATTAATATTTTATTTAACAAGATTTTATAAGCGGACGTTGTTTTGAACTTCACCTCAAATATTCTTGTTTATTTTGTAGATAACTGACCAAAAGAAATACATTAAAGTAACCAACAAATTATACCAAACCAAATAGAGAATTTTTCAGACATCTTTCATTTTCTCCGTCTCACTCACGGCAAGATATGGCGAGGGATTATTAAGTAAAACTGGCCTCAGACGGTTTAGTTTAGTCCGCTTTAAATCTGCAGGAAAATATCAGGCTTTGCTAAAAGGCAGGTTATTTTTACCAACGATTAGGGTCAATAGTGATGGCCAATTGCAGATTACAAAGAAAAATCTTAATATTACAAAGAAAACATAAGCTGGACCACAACAGATCATATCAATGTCATGATGAATGCTCAAATAATGTACAGTCGTGGCCAAAAGTTTTGAGAATGACACAAATATTAGTTTTCACAAAGTTTGGTGCTAAACTGCTTTTAGATCTTTGTTTCAGTTGCTTCTATGATGTACTGAAATATAATTACAAGCACTTCACACGTTTCAAAGGCTTTTATCAACAATTACATGACATTTATGCAAAGAGTCAGTATTTGCAGTGTTGGCCCTTCTTTTTCAGGACCTCTGCAATTCGACTGGGCATGCTCTCCATCAACTTCTGGGCCAAATCCTGACTGAAAGCAATCCATTCTTTCATAATCAGTTCTTGGAGTTTGTCAGAATTAGTGGGTTTTTGTTTGTCCACTCGCCTCTTGAGGATTGACCACAAGTTCTCAATAGGATTAAGATCTGGGGAGTTTCCGGGCCATGGACCCCAAATTTCAACGTTTTGGTCCCGAGCCACTTAGATATCACTTTTGCCTTATGACACGCTGCTCCATCATGCTGGAGAATGCATTGTTCTTAACCAAACTGTTGTTGGATTGTTGGAAGAAGTTGCTGTTGGAGGGTGTTTTGGTACCATTCTTTATTCATGGCTGTGTTTTTGGGCAAAATTGTGAGTGAGCCCACCCCCTTGCATAAGAAGCAATCCCACACAAGAATGGTTTAAAAAAAAAAAAAAAACAAAAAAAAAAACAATCAGTCGATACTCAGGGTTTTGGTATCGACATTGGATTGGTTCTAAAAAAAAAATGGTATCAGTGCATTCCTAAAACATATAGTGCAAGCACTAATTGAATAAGTTTGCCCCCCTCTGTAAACTGTGGCCCCTGCTTTTAAAACCCCCTAGATCCGCCACTGCCAACAGTGCTGAAAATAAACACTAATGGCATGACGATGAGTTTTCCCTTAAAACAAACTAAATGATCCGCCAGCGGCATAAATAAAATAAACCCATTTCAAACCAAAACAGGATTAGCTTACTTACACAATTGGCAGATTATTTAGCTTGGAAACGCACTTAAACTGACTCATTATTATACTGAAAACAAGACTATATTTTGAACATGTACAGTAAATGCTTCTTGATTTCAGAATTTGTAGATATTTAGTCTAGAAACAAGACCAAGCGAAGCAAGCAAAGCTTTTCCTGCAGTGTAAAATACACAGCAAACAAGTACAAGCACTTTTTCTTTTGCAAAACATTAAACCTAGGCATCATAGATGGTAAAACAAATGCAAGACACTCAGAATTCAGCGTGCGACTTCTTCTTTTACACACACACAAAAAAAGAGATGCTTATTTAGTGTGTAATCAGACACCTCACATTTGCACACATCTCCAGCCTCCACAGATTCTCCAACGCAACAATTGCACAGAAAAATGAGACGCGTTACATAATAAGAGCACAGTATTATGTGAGGAAGGGTTCGGGTGAGATCTGATAGGGTGAAATCCTTCATAAAGGGCCCGTAGGCGAGAGAAGGCCCTCAGAAATGCCTGTAAAGTGAGATGTTTTGCTGTCAGGAGCTTTAGGCCCGGCAGACACGCTTTATGAAGAGAAAACTGCCGGATGAGCTGCACAATATCGATATCGCAATGTGTGCATTCGCAATATTCTCATGAGGATCATGCAATGTTGAGCCTGTACTATAGTTTATCATCTGAGGATTTTAAACATGTTCAGGTAGTGCTGTCAAATGAAGAATCACGATTAATTCCATCCAAAATGAATATTGTGTATATAAATATATGTATGACACTTATAAAATATGTATGACACTTTATACAATATTTGTTATCTAGAAATGTTAATATATATTTATATATAAATATTTATTTTGTATATTATGTACAGTATGTTTTCGTTTGTCTAGAAAATGCTTCTTAATTTATGGATTTTTAGATATTTGAACTAAAAACCAAACCAAAAAAAAAAAAAAAATTTTCGCAGTGCAAATTACAATATGTAAATTTAGTGCTGTCAATCGATTAAAAAAAATTAACTAATTAATTAATAACTAATTAAATCGCACTTTTTTAAAAAATTAACCGCGATTAATCACATTTAAAAGACTGAAACTTGTAATTTTGGCTATTCAAATGTAAAATTAATGTAAACGCAAGATAAAAACTATTTAAATTCAAAATAAAATTGTTTATTAAAATTTTTTAACTTGTAACACAGATTTCTTCATGTAAACAACAAACCCACAATAAACCATCAAGATCCTGGCTTGACAGCCATATTTATTACAGAAATAAATTAATAATGCCATTTCAATTTCATAACAATCAATATCAATAAAGAAAACATTGATTTCCAAGTTGGATTATAAGTGGACTGCAAAAAATGCCAAAATACAGGCATTACAGATATGGAAAATGGAAAATTATAATAATAATAAAGTATTGAATAGTTGCACTCATTGTAAAGTTGTATTGCTGTGAGTTGAGAACAATAATTATAAAATAGAAACATTTTTGATCAGTCCTCTACATTCAGGCCCCGTTTACACTAATGCGTTTTAGTTTGAAAACGCATAAGTTTTGCTACGGTTACGCCATCCGTCCACACTACGCCGGAGTTCTCGAGCGCCGAAAACGCTGGAGAGGCTGTTTTCATTCTGAAACGCTGCTGCTCCGTCTCAGTGTGGATGATGGAAAACGGAGACATCTGAAAACGGAGGCGGGGCTGCAGACATTCGCCTCTCTGATTGGGGCTTTTCCTCAATATTAAGTAGCCCACACACACAGTTCAGTCCTGCATCTTCTCCGTGTAAGTTCAGACTTCGGAAGTTTGATCATGGCTGCAGTCTCTTCTTCTCAGTTTGATATGGAAAAACAGACTATACCGAGGACACGGGTAAATCTTCAAAGGGAACAGTGTACTTTATAACTTCATTCACATCACCCTGGCTACGTTGTTTCACTTTCTCAACAATAAAATGTGAACATGATTTAAGGAACTGAATATTTTCATTTTAATATTAACAACTAAACAGACAGCAGAAATGTTGAGGTGTCGTGCTGCATAAGATGAGCGTCATCTTCACTGTGTGGATATTTATAACAAAACGGAGCCGATAACAACTGCCTCCTTTCAATTTCAGTGAAAATACGAAACACAGCCTCTCTTTTGCTGAATATCAGTTTTAATAATCGATATTGGCCATTATAAAAGTATAACATACATTAAGTTTATACATTATAGGAAATAAAGGCAAGCGATCAGTCAATATACAGAATGTACATGGATTAATCATTAACTTATCTTTGCGCTCAGCCAAAACACGTTACCTGAGAACAAGTAATAGATTCCAATGACCAAAGTCAGGGAATATGTCGTTAGATAAAGACAACAAGATGAATGAAATATCACATTTAATAAATACAATGAGATTAGATCCAGCGGGAGATGCTTGATGAGAAGTCCGACTAGCAGCTCTCATCTGGGTAGATAGGCTGCAGCGCTTGCCAAAGAGTGTGTGTGGTCACGTGATGTGTGTTTTCAGCGTTTTGGTGTGGACGGAGAGCAGTTCAGAAACGCTGGGTAAAACGCGAGTGTGGACGCGGATCGTTTTCATTCTAAAACGCCGTTTTAAAACTAAAACGCACTAGTGTAAACGGGGCCTCAGTCAGTTGCTAAGACAGTCCAGTCTGTTGACATTATCAGAGGACAATGTGGACCTTTTCTTTTGAATGATGTGAGCTGAGAGTGCAACACAATCTCACGGCAATTCCTATTTTTTTTATTTAGTGGCTACGGACAACGACGTTTAGGCAGGTTTGATGCTAAGAAATGCCTGAGTGCGTGCACACACAGACACACACAAACACACTGTTATTATTTATGTTTTCTTTCTGTCTTTTTTTTTCACCCTCCTCTCCGTTTGCTCAACCCCTAGGTTTCTTATTGGTTTAATATTCTGTCCATCATCATTATGACGCTCTCCGGTTCCACCAATCCCAGGACGAGCCGCAAGGAAAGCCCTGTCAGACCAGTGTGTGGGGTGCGCTCTGCCTCGGCGTACCCTATGTGCTCCACGCAATTTGTTTGTGCAAATGCTTCGTCTATTTAGTGATTTATCTCAGTTACTGTGGTAATACGAGTTTGCTTGTTGAACTTCGTTGGCTTTAAGTAACATAATATGATGGTTGTTGTGTGATTCTAAACTAAGCTTTGACGGACTTATCCAGTTTGTTTTGTTTTAGTTTAGATTGATGCTTTGTTAGATTAGTTTGAGTGTTTTGCCACCCGTGTCTTTTGAGTTTTGTAGTTTAATTAGTTTAGGTCGGGTGTCGTATACACTGAAGATCTCGGTTTTTATTTTGTTTCTTTTTGACGCCTAGTTTAGACTTTAGATTTAAGGATTGTTTTGTTCTGTTAATTTCTTTGATTTGGCTTACACTCGTTGTTTTTGTTTAAAGATAATAATTATAAATGTTTATTTCTTTTTCCCCATTTATTATTGTTACATGTTTCAATTATTGAGTAAAAGCTTAAATAAGAGTAACTGATCCTTGCCTCATTCTTGATTTGACGCACACATTACACCTGTCTCACTTAATACACGCACACACACACACACACACACACACCGTGCAGGACAGGGCAGCCGGAGCGACTCCCTTCAGATTCAACACATATGATCGCGTTCATCAAATTTGCTTAAATCAAGCTTTCTAAAGTCTGGCTGTATTTCACAAATATTTTGACACAACAGCGCAAAGCAGACACTTTGCAAAAGTTGAATTTAAGAGGGAAACACGTCAAACTTTATGAAACATTGGAGGGCGCATGCTGAAAGGCAGAGGAATGCACTGTCTTTGACAGCTCGCGACTTCATCTGGCACTTCATTTACAGACACCAATACTCCGATTTTAATATAATTAAGATAATACTCTTATTAAGAGTCGACCATGTAAGCAGCAATTTTTGATTACCTTAAAGGACCAACGAGTCACGAAATGTGGAGGTTTTTGTTTCCGTTCGCCATGCGGTATCAACTTCCATTAAAACGAAAGCTAAAAATTAAACACTCAAAATTGCATGAAACTCTGGAGGAAACTCTGGAGAGCCTGGTGATGCCACATTAATTGCTTTATACTGAAACTTGCCTTTTTTGCATGTTAAACACACGTCCACCACAACAGGAAATAAAAAAAACTGCAACTGCGTAAATTGCATAAATTTTTTTAACGTGTTAAATATTTCACATTTGTTGCATGCGTTAACGCACTAATTTTGACAGCACTAATAACAATAGATGCATGCATGTGTGTGTACTTTTATAAACATAATAAATATACAACGTACACACACTTAAATTAAGTCAAAACAAACTTTTATTTTAGATGTGATTAACCACGGTTTATGTTTGCACAGCACTAACATAAATTTTATGCGCCGCATAGGTTTATCCAAATTTGATCAGACGAGCCCTGATAATTTGAGTTAATGCCTTATTTATCTTTTATTTATTGTGATTTGTGATAGTGTTGTCATTTTAGGACTATTTTATGCCACTGATTATACAGCATAAATGCTTTTAAATGTTAAACTCAACAATACTCTGTTCAGACTGACTCCCCTTTGGTGATGTTGGTGCTGTTTTTGTCCCATTGACTTCCGTTATAATCACATTTATTGACTGCAAAGCCATGACAGCAGATAATCATGTGTTGTTGCTGGTTTTCTCAGTTGGGAAGAGGGTCATTTTTACTGTTTTATTTTACTCATTATTTGCAAGTGGGATAAATAATATAATTTTGTTTTTGTAATAATAATAATATTATATATACCTCATTGGCAGATAATTCTAAGACCATTTTATGCCACAGATATTACATTAGCATAATGCAAATCAACACTTTACATTCTTAAGGTCATTAAGTTGATTTTAATATAGTAAATGTGCTAAAATAAGCTGTCAGCGGTGATGTGGAATGCAGATGTGCCTGTAAAATGTCTTTAAGGTTATTTATGATCGTTTCTCTTTTCTGGAGGTTAAAAACAGCTAATTTCTCCCAAACCTGTCAGTAAGCATTGTTTCTGAAGGAGTTACGACAGAGATCAGATGAGATTATAAACAATGCACAATCAGCTGAAATGATGGTCGCATTCATTCTTATGTAAACATGCTGGACGATAAGCTCACTATAAAACATGCTAATTTATTCAGGTTATCTCAACACAAATTTATAAAGTTAACCAAGCAAATTTAAGAGGACTGAACAGAAAACAATTAAGTTGTCCCTCTTCAAATCTGAAGAATTGTGTTGTTTCAGCTCATTTTAAAAAAGTAGCTTGAACAAGCAGCAAAAATATTTTTTGAGTGCAGATAAGGACACGAGTATTAATTTTTAAGTTATTCTTCAAATATTTCTCAAATAATGTTTACAGGGTAATAAAAATTTTTCCACAGTAATTCCCATTTTATTTTAAAGTTCTATTTCTTTTAGTTTGGCTGGAATAACAAAGTAGTTAATGTAAAATAAAAAATGTGAAATAAAATCCACCTTAAAAAAAAAAAAAAATAAATAAATAAATAAATAAATAAATAAATATATATATATATATATATATATATATATATATATATATATATACACACACACACACACACACACACACATTTTCAATCATCAACAGATGAAATCACTGTTGTCCAATAACTTGCCTAATTAACCTAATTAAGCCCAAATCAGTTATCAAAACTATTATGATTTTATCACTTCTTTCCTCTTCAATGTATTTATTTGTGTGTTAAATAATCAGTTTAGTAATTGTTATTATTTAGTTTTTCTGCTTTTGTAGTACATTTGCACTATAACCCATGGCAATATATTTGTAAAACTTGCCTCAGATTGTATTTTTGGAAGCAAATTATACATTCATCCTGATCATTTTAAATAAACATATACAAAAAACAAGATATTATGCAGAGAAATGTGCAATAAATAAACAGCACTTTGGGAAATATCTGAAAAACAATTAATTTCACTGGAGGGCTAGTCATCAGTTTTTTAAGTGTAGAATTATTGAAGTTATAGCCATGTTTTTTTTGTGATAAGTCAATATATTGATTAATGATATAAATGTTGGGTACTCTCTGTTGTGCAATATGAATCAGTCTCAACATTTGCAGCTATAAAAATACAAATCAAGAAAAAACAATAATGTTGATGCTTACTTTTCCTCATGTTGCCTTTCATATTTCGTACAAGCTCATCTGATGGTGTCAGGTCAGACACAAACATCTCAGGATCCCCTTGAAGGAAAGAAAAGTGTCATTAAAAACATTCCGACATGTAGAGATTCAATAAGTATTTGCAGAGCTAGTGTTTCTTCCCATATTGATAAACTCCCGGTAAACGGATAATGTGACTTTTTTCCATTTTATACGGTTCCTTTTACAGCATCGATGCTGTAATGTCATTAAATTATAATTAGCTAAACAGACTTTGGTCTTTATTTAGTTGCTCAAGTGTAAAATCAGACAAAAAGCCCACTCACACGCCCCCGTCAGAATCGGCAGGCTAGCGCAGAAGGTCTATTGAATATACTGGGGTAAAATAAATGCTCATATTATAAAGACATGGCGGGGAAATGTAATGTAATGCAGTGCTTCTTTTTACAATCTGAGACCCACTTTATATCAGATATCACTCAGCTAATGGAGATCGCTGATTTTTAAGAAAACAGACCTTAAACGCGCCGGTTTTTGCATTGGCATACAGTTCGCTGGAAGCGCTTAACCCAGGTTACTGGCAAATTAAAAGTCCTATTAGCATGCTTCAGCATATACCCTACAGTGCTATTGCAAGCAACAGGAACTAGTATACTACACAGAACTGTTCTTTTGGTGCATTATCAGAGCAAACTTTGCTTTTCCGGTGAGCATGAGTGGATTATTTATTGATAAGCATGCACGCAAATGAGTGAAATATTCAGCTATTTTGACCAAGACACAGCATAACTTATTTTCTGCTCATATTTTCCAGCATTTTTCTCTTATTTTCAGACAAAAGTGCTTAGAATTAACAGACAAAGGTGAAGCATCCCCACCAATATCCACTGACTAATGAAATGAGCTAATAATTAAACTAATAATGCATTCATTCATTCATTTTCCTACGGCTCAGTTTTTTTATTTATCATTGGTCACCACAGCGGAATGAACTGCCGACTATTCTAGCATATAACGACCAATTTAGTTCATCAATTCCCCTATATTGCATGTGTTTGGACTGTGGGGAGCACTCGGAGGAAACCCACGCCAACACGGGGAGAACATGCAAACTCCACACAGAAACACCAACTGACCCAACCAGGTCTTGAACCAGCGACCTTCTTGCTTCTTTCACCCCAGATTTCATTAATTCAGTGTGACACACAATTCGACACACTATTGAGGCACATTTAGATCTGAAATATAGATTTATATCTAAATAATTTTAAAACACAGCTAATTAAAAAAGCCTTTTTCTAGAGAAATCTGATCGTAAACAGTATCGCCATTGCAATACTTTAAGACTAAAATCCAGTTTAAAACTATTGATGCACTACATTGCAGTATTTTCCCAGTATCATACAGCCCGTAGTTCATACCGGTCAACATTGGGATGTGAAAATAAGGGATATGCCCACCATAATAACAGATTGCCCAGAACCCCGAAGGAAACAAACCAGATCGACAACTTTAGATATTATTATTATTATTAATTATGCATGCATGTCCGTTTAAACACGCACCTAAACCCCGAGCTTTCACTCTGCTTCAAATCGCGTGTACAGAATGCGATTGGGAAACAGCGTCTGTTTATCACTATGGAGCGCGTCAGCTGACAGTCATGCATTTTGAGGATTGCATATGAAGGGGAGACGGCATTTGTAGTGAAAACGAGAGAGAATCCCACCGTTGTGATATTTATTTTAAGGTGTTTTCATGCCTAATCAAAGCGAAAGCACAGAACAGACTCGCATTTAAGAGCAAGGGGCGTCCCCTGGTGGTTCGGCGGTATAGGTTGCATGTAAGGAGACTCGGCTCTTTAATGTTTATTTGACACCCTTCAGAGAAAGACTGAAAATACTGAAGAAATACGGGGAAAAACCTTTACGGGTAAATAGCAGGATAGAACTGTAAAATACGGGAGAATTCCGGGAAAAACTGGAGTGTTGATAGGTATGCTAGTTTCCACTCATCGAAAATGAACCTACCGTCACTAAAGGTGAAGGTCATGGTCTCGTTCCCGCTGTCTGGCAGCGTTCCGTCCCTCTTCCCGTTAGTATGCTGCACCGCATCGTGTGATTTATAGTCTCTTTTGCATCCCTTGGAGGACTTGTGACGTGTGCTAATGCGTATGACGCCATGCACCAGCCGGCACTCGGCCTCCTGCTCCTCCAGGTTGTAATCCTGAGCAATGCTGTTGATCAGATCACTAATCTCGTTGGTTTTTCGCGAAAACGACACATCAGACGTGCATTTGGCAAGCTGCTCGATCTGGTGCAATTTATAAAGTTCCAGAAGCTTCTTGGTGATCAGCGAGTCGATATCGGTGCCGCCGTCGTCTAAATCATCCAGATCCAGATCCTCCCTCGAGTAGATGCTAGTATCGCTGATCGGCCGCTGATTATCACTTTTCCCTGTAGTCCTGGTCCGTCGTGGAGGCGCGTCTGTGTTTATGGGATACTCCACCTTTTTTCCGGCAAAATAAACATCGGGATATTTGAAGCTGTCGGAGTTCGGTAACTTCCTCGGCTTGCTGGGTTCAAGATTTATCCCGGATGTTGGATTTGATAATGCCATCAATCCATTGGTCTTCTTGGGTTCCGGTTCGGCTTTTAAAGAGTTGTCAGTGGAGCTTTCGTCTGGTGGTAAACAAGGTTTGCGTGACCCGTAGAGCCCGCATGTGAGAATACAGCACAGCAGAGCCTTACAGTCACTCCAACCCAGAGAAGCACATGAACCGCAGGCTTGAGTGCCCTGAGGAGAGTCTGCAGATCCGGGAATAAAGCCCAGCGTTTCTGATCCTCGTCCATTGGCATATTGAGTTTGTGATTTTCGAGGGAGCTGAGAGTCTGTGCTGCGAGGTTGCTCGCTGTAGGCGTCCTTATAGGTCTCCTGACTGGTGCTGCTGTCCTTGGAGCATGTTCGGTTTTGCCTGTAGCCGTCAGCCCGAGAACGGCTTGAGCTGTGAGGACGTGTCTTGTGATGGGTTCCTGTGCTGTGGCCAGGCATAACTCACCACATTCAGGACCTGCAGGAACAGACAAGGCATTAGTGTTGATCAGAAGTGAGAAAATTCAAAGTAGGTTGCTTCTTAGTAAGGATGCACCAATATATCGGTCACCGATATTATTAACCGATATTGGATTCATTTTAATCTATCGGCATATTGGTGATAACTTAGAAACGACAGATGGAATAGTATTGGTTACCAATGCTTATCGGCCAATTTTGGATTAATTTAAAGATAACAGCATATCAGCAATAATATCATATAGGCAGATATCAATGTATCAATACCCATATTTATTGGCCAATATTGGATAAGCAAAGCAGTGATAATATGAAAAGGGCAGATATCGATGTATCGTTACCAGTATTTAATATCAGCCCATATTGTATACATTTAATGCCATCCATGATAACATGCTAAAAAAGCAGATATTAATTTCATTAAAACGTCTAACAAGTTATGACTAAAAATCTTGCCAGGCATATTCACAACACAAATGTATTTACTTTAAATACTCTATATATATTACATTTTACACATTTATCAGCAAAGAGGCTTTAAATAACTTTAAACTGATTCTTATATCTGAATATAATAATAATAATAGTAATGAGACTAATAATAATAATAGACAAAAATTCATCGCATCCAAAATAAAAGTTTTTCTGAACATAATGTGTGTGTGTTATATATTTATTATGTATATATAATACATACAATAAAACATAACTATACAATACAATATACACATATTTTCATACAAATATATGCACATGTACATATACATGTGTGTGTGTGTGTGTGTGTGTGTGTATAATATATATATATATACCATGTATACATATATACATATACATACATATATATATATATATATACATATACATATATACATATATACATATATACATATACATATATACATATATACATATATATATATATATATATATAGCACACATGGTATACAGTACACACACATATATATTTTATTTAAAAAAACAAAAACTTTATTTTCTATGCAATTAATTGTGATTAATTTTTGTTGACCACTAATTAACGAATTTTATTTATAAAAGGTTTTTCTTAAACTACAAAACTATGATCACTCACTGGTTTATCAACAAGTTCAGGTCAGAATAAGTAAATGTTCTGCCGTTTTATTTTAACAAACATAACTTGAAACCTTAAGACATCTAATATGATTTTATGCATGTTAAATAGATTTAATTTGATGAAAATACCAACAGGACGTAACAAAGCCTTGACCCAAATTATAGATAAACAACGTCTGAAATTCCTCATTCTGTGTTCATTGCACAATAACTTCCTCAACCCTGGAGATACGAATGCACTACAACAATGCTGAAGTCAAATAATTAAATAGTTTATCATCAAATTCCCACAATGTACTAGCTGTCGGATGCATCAAACTACCGTGTAATGGAGCACTTCCCTTTAGATATTGTATTAATAATTAAATTAAAGAAGTTCACTATTAAATGTTACATACCATCTATAAAAGTTAAACATTGATGTGGATGACAAATGCTGAAAAAGAGAGACCGGCTGACTTATTTTGTAATGGTTAACAAGAGGATTTGACAGAATTCATCTATAATTTGATCCATATATTCATTTTCCATCAGCTTAGTCCATTATGTATCAGGGGTCACCACAGCAGAATGAACCGCCAACTATTCCAGTATATGTTTTACCTAGCGGATGCCCTTTCAGGTGCAACCCAGTACTGGGAAACACCCATACACACATTCACGCACACACTCATACACTACGGCCAATTTAGTTGATCAGTTCCCCTATAGCACATGTGTTTGGACTGTGGGGGAAACCGGAGCACCAAGAGGAAACCCACGCCAACATGGGGAGAACATGCAAACTCCACACAGAAACACCAACTGACCCAGCTGGGACTTGAAGCAGTGACTTTCTTGCAGTGAGGCTACTGTGCTAACCACTGAGCCAAAGTCCCGCCCAATTTGATTTATTGTTTTACATTAAAAGGTGTTATTCTGCATTATGAAAACAAAACCAATAAATATACACAACTAATTATTAACTTTTGCTTTCTAATGACAATTTGTGACATATTACATGGAAAAAGGTATCTTAACTCATGGTTTGCATTTAGTGTTTTGTAAATTTTTATCACAACACTGTTAACAAATAAAAAGTCTAAAATATTATCACGAAATCTTTCATTTTTCTGATGCTATATAAACAGCTATAAGTGTAAAAAAATCACTGCTGGTTTTTATATTGTACTATTTTTATTTGTATGCTCAAACCCTTCACAAAGAAATTTATGAGCACATAGAACATATTTTTTAAACTTAATTTTATTATAGAGTGCAAAAGTTTATTTAGTCATTTTTTTGCATGTTAGTCTATCAATATCTAGTGACCAAAATGGTTGTAAATGCATGTAGAGAACAAAAAACATCCTTAGGATATATAAACGAGGGAAAAAAAACGTTTTTCCCCCTGAATTATTCCCCGGCGTCTATTTTCCCCCAATTTCTGTTTAACGGTGAGCAGATTTCTCCAACACATTTCTAATCATAATAGTGTTAATAACTCATCTCTAATAACTGATTTATTTTCTCCTTGTCATGATGACAGTGAATAACATTAGACTAGATATTCTTCAAGACACTTCTATACAGCTTAAAGTGACATTTAAAGGGCCCCTTAAGCTATATATTTTCCCATAGTCTACAGAACAAACATCCTTATACAATATCTTGCCTAATTACCCTAACCTGCCTAGTTACCCTAATTAACATAGTTAAGCCAATAATTTTGACCTTAAATGGCTTTTAAAAAATTAAAAACTGCTTTTATTCTAGCCGAAATAAAACAAATAAGACTTTCTCCAGAAGAACAAATATTATCAGACACACTGTGAACATTTCCTGAATCTGTTCAACATCATTTGAGAAATTTAAAAAAGAAAAAAAAAAATCAAAGGGGGTTTAATAATTCTGACATACATAAGCAAACAAGCAAACAAATAAATAAATAAATACACATTATACACATATATATTAGAGCTGCACAATTAATTGTTAAAAGATGGCGATCTCGATTCGACCCCCTAGACGATCTTAATTCAGCACATCATTTAAATAATCATATGGCATTTTAGAGTTATGACTGCGACAAGCAATTGAAATGTTTTTTTCTTTCATAGCGAAGACACAGCTGTGCATGAAAATAAATGTTTACAGTGTCAGTATAACTACTCTAGCCTATATAATGTTGATTTTACTAGTGAATTAAATAGTCTAATAATGTTCTCAATGACAGATTGCAAAAGCATAAGCCTATATCTCAAACATAATTCAACATCAGAATTATTATAAGCAGAATAGAATTATTTATAGAAACCAGCAGATCAACACATAATATTAATATTGTTGCTTTACCATATGTTTGAGAAAAAAACAATAATAATTGCAGACACGTATTAAGCTTTATTTTACATCTACAGAATCATGAGAGAATCCTGATCTTTATTTTAAGCAAAAAAAAAAACAAAAAAACACAACGCGATTCTCATTTTAGCCAGAATCATGCAGCTCTCAATAAATAAAACAAAATAAATAATTAAATAATAATAAATAATACTTTTTTTTTTTAAAGAGGGACAATTAGATGGATAAACTGGGGAGAGAAAGGAGTGGCCTTAATCATAACTGTATTGCTCATTATTGAAGAATTAAAGGCATGACAGGAGACCATCTGTTTCAGATAAAAAGTCATAATTCACATGTTATTTGCTCCAATTCATACAGTTCCCACACCTAGCAGAGCTGGGATCTTCAGAAAATTTCTAAGCATCAAATACCTCTATCCACAAATGCTTATTTTAAATAAAAATACCACTGTTGTCCATTTACATTAGATTTCAGAGTAATCGCGTAAATCATGAATATAATATAGCGTGTGTTAGGAAGTAAGGAATGTTTATATATTAATATATTGCTGTAATATGGACTATTTAAATCAAGATACTTTTTTTAACCCAGCTTTTATTTTGTATATATTTGACCCAGTTTGTGTTGAAACCCCCAGCATTTTTTTGTTTTGTTTTTTGTTTTGAGTGTATCATAGAATTTGCACCAATATACCTTTGGGTATTAGACTGCTTATTAAAAACAAGGTGGATGCTTGGGGAAATTTTAAATGTATAGTATTTGTAAAAGTGAAATATAAACAGAAAAGAATTAAATGAAGGAATTAATGAATATCATTTGAATTTTGAGCATGCATGGATGTGTGCAGGTTGCATATAAATGGTTTGATGTAAACATTTCTTGTATGCTGATTGCTGCATAATTCTGTTATGTTATGCTTTTATATATTTACTTGTTTTGGTATTTCGTATTGATGCATAAATGTAAATTCTGCAATAATTAAATCTTGGTATTGTTATGCACGGAATTTAAATAAACCTTTTCTGATGCATTATAATAGACATCGGACACCTTTTGTACACTAAAAAAATGCTGTGTTGTTGTAACCCAAAACTGGGTCAAATATGGACAAACCCAGCGCATGTGTGTCGACATGAGTTGTGCTGCAGAAGGCATTTGAAGCATGTGAACAGAGTTGATCTGCATGAAGATAAACATGGTTGTTTATTTATGCAGGCCTGGAAGAAGTGAACATGCTTAGGAGCCGTGGTGGATACATGAGCATTACACCCAACATATAAACAAACATTAATCCAGCATATATAAATATATAGATTAAGCTTTCTTTTTGTTTCTTGATCTATATATCTATCTATCTATCTATCTATCTATCTATCTATCTATCTATCTATCTATCTATCTATCTATCTATCTATCTATCTATCTATCTATCTATCTATCTATCCATCCATCCATCCATCCATCCATACATTAATTTATTTATTTATTCACTTAAATTTTATTTTATTTATTCATTAATATTTAATTTTTAGTTTAAAATTATTTGGTGATTTATTT